ACTCACCTCAGCCTCCCAAAGGCGCAGGATTACAGGCTGAGCCACCGAGCCCGGCGGATTCCTTTTATAAGAAAAGTCCAGAATAGGCCAGGTGCGGTGGCTCATGCCTGTAATCCCAGCACGTTGGGTGGCCAAGGCAAGAGGACTGCCTGAGCCCAAGAGTTTGAGACCAGCCTGAGCAGCATAGTGAGACCTTGTCTATACATAAAATCTAAAAATTTAGACAGGCATGGTGGCGTGTGCCTGCAGTCCCAGCTATTCGGGAGGCTGAGGCAGAAGGGCTGTCTGAGCCCAGGAGGTCAAGGCTGTGGTGAGCCATGATCCTGCCACTGCATTCCAGCCTGGGCAGAAAGCGAGACCCTGACTCAAAATAAATGTTCAGAATAGGCAAATTCAAGGGGCAGAAACCAGATTAGTGGCTGCCAGAGAATACAGAGGTGGGTAATGGGGAAGGACTGTTTAATGCGCACAGAGTGTTTTTCTTTATCTTTAAAACAATGTTTTTAACATTTTATTTTTCTCATCCACTTGACTGTGTATGTAGGTGATGAAAAAGTTTGAAATTATAGAGAGGTAGTGGTTGTACAACATTATGAATGCATGAAATGCCACTAAATGATATACTTTACATTGGTAACTGAATGTCATGTGAGTTTCACCTCAATTAAAACAAATACTTAAGATAAACACAAATTAAGATACACATGGTTTGCCACCAGCAGGCATTACTTTTTTAGTTAAAAAAAATTCACTTGCCCAGGCCAGGAGTTTCTAACCCTAGGTGTCTGTGCTGGGTCCCGTGCATCCAACTGGCTCAGGAAGAACTTTTCTCTCTCAGGCTCACTCCTGAACCCGGGTTGGACCCATGGATGGAAAGGGCCCAAGGAAAAGAGATACGCCTGACATCTCGTGACGTACACGTGATGTTACCATGCACACAGAGCAGGGTTGCGGCTCTACACCTGCAGGAAGAACGCTGGCCTCACAGGGGACTGTCACAACCCACCTATCAGTGGCAGCCAGCCCTGCCTAGGACTCAACACAGGGACAATGCTACAGCAACGTCAGCCGGGGTGCCTGACTCTCTTCTTGCCTCTGCCACTCCCCAGGGTGGGGTTTTGGTCAAGCTACCTCCCCTCTCCAGGCCTTATTTTTCTGTCACAGGGAAGGAACGACTCACATCGGGGATGTGGCAGTTGCTGTAATTCACAAGTCAAATGCACCACGTGGACAGTGAGAGCCAGGAGCGCCCTGCTGAGCCTGTGGCTGGATGAGTGGATGTGAATGCGAAGGTCTGCCCTGGCTCCAGAGCGAAGATGCTGGCACCGTGCCCCTCACTGCCTCCCTGGATTATGTGAAATTGAAGGAACATCCAGCTCCAAGGTGCTGTTGTTTCTGCACCAGTCTGGGCAGAAGGTATGCTCAGGAAACCAAGAAAAGTTTCAGGCAGAGAGAAAAAGGCAGAGTCTGAATGAACTCACTAGTCAGGGCACAAGAACACAAGTACCTAGGCATAGGTCCCATGAACTCTGATGGGACAGTCAATTTATTAAAAGCCAGAGGCACGCCTACTGGTACGCACTATTGTTCCAGCTACTCAGGAGGCTGAAGTGGGAGGATCACTGAGCCCAGGAAGTCAAGGCTGCTGTAATCTATGATCATACCTGTGAATGGCTATTGCTCTCCAGCCTGGACAACATAGTAAGACCCCATATTTTAAAAACAAACAAAAACAACAACAACAACAAAAAAAGGAACACTGGGCGAGGCATACACTCTAAACCTTGCAGACCACTCTGGGAGACATTACACAGTGCTCTGTCTACTCTCCTGGGCTGTAAGGATTCCCTGACCTTGTGATTTACATTAGACAATAACAAAATATTGCAACTACTACAAAGCAGGTGAACAGTGGACTGAAAAGAACCCAGAGGCTGGAAGTGGTGGATCATGCCTATAAACTCAGCACTTTGGGAGGCTGAGGTGGGACGATCACCTGAGGCCAGGAGTTTAAGACCAGCCTGGAGCCAGCTCAGTGGCTCAGCCTGTAATCCCATGCTTTGGGAGGATGAGGTGAGTGGATTGCCTGAGCCCGCGGGTTCGAGACCTGCCTGGGCAACTTGGCGAGACCTCATCTCTACAATAAATCAAAAAATTAGGTGGGCGTGGTAGCATGTGCCTGTAGTTCCAGTTACTTGGAAGGCTGAGGTGGAAGGATCGCCGGAGCCCAGAGGGTCGAGGCTCGGCCACTGCACTCCAGTCTGGGCAATGGAGTGAGACTCCAACTCAGAAAAAAAAAAAAAAGAAAAAAAGACCAGCCTAGGTAAAAAAGCAAGACCCAACTCTGCCAAAAACAGAAATATCAAGGCTGGGCATGGTGGCATGTGCTTATAGCTCCTGCTGAGGGGAGGCTGAGGTAGGAAGATCGCCTGAGCCCAGGAAGTTGAAGCTGTGGTAAGCTGAGATTGTGCCGTCGCACTCCAGCCTGGGGCACAGAGCAAGACCCTGACTCAAAAATAAAAAAGGCTGGGCTTGGTGGCTCAGCCTGTAATCCCACGCCTTTGGGAGGCTGAGGTGAGTGGATTGCCTGAGCCTGCGGATTCAAGACCCGCCTGGGCAGTGAGACCTGATCTCTACAGTAAATCAAAATATCAGCCGGGCGTGGTAGCACATGCCTGTAATTCCGGCTACTTGGAAGGCTGAGGCGGAAGGTGGAGGCTGCGGTGGCCGGGAGCGGCCACTGCACTCCAGTCTGGGTGACAGAGTGAGACTCCGACTCAAAAAAAAAAAAAAAAAAAAAAAGTGAAAAATAAATAACCCAGGGTGTTCTGCTCCACTCAAGTTCCTGAAGGCCGAGGTGTACCTCTGATGAGAGGTGTGAGCAGCAGGTCTGTTCTACAACTGCTGGGGCCTCACCCACCTGCCTGCCTGGGTTCATCCTGCTGGCCGGGGGTGCCCAGGCACTTGCTACTCGAGGCCGAGGTAGGAAACGGTCTTTCCTGTTTTCTTCAGGGTCTCCAGCAGGGTGTCCATGCTGTGCTCAGATTCAATGCAGACCTTCTTGTTGGGCAGGTCGATGTCAAACTTAACTCCTGCAGGAAGAGGAAGAGGGTGTGGAGAGAGGAAGCAGAGACCCTCCCTGGGACAGCAAGAAAGGGCCCAGACACCTCCACTATGACTCACGGTCACCTTTCCCTGACCCTCTAGCCCAGGGATCAGAAGGCTCTTCCTGGAAAAGGCCAGAGGGTCCCTGCTGCAAGCATGGAGGTCAAATATGGACTCTGTTGTGTACTCTTCTGCAAATTTTTTAACAATCCCCTTAAAAATATAAAAACCATTCTTACCTGTACAAAAATAGGCTGGGGGCTGGAGTTGGCCCATGGGCTGTAGTTTGCTGAATGCTGCTCTATACTCAGGCCTCTTTTAAGTTTTGGGGTTTTCTTTTTTGAGACAGGATCTCGCTCTGAGTACAATGGCACGATCATAGTTCACTGCAACCTTGAACTCCTGGGCTCAAGTGATCCTCCCGCCTCAGTCTCCCAAGTAGTTGGAACTACATGTCTACCATTGGAACACCATACCGTGCTAATTTTTAAAAAAACTTTCCTTGCAGAGATGGGGTCTCACTTTGTTGCCCAGGCTGGTCTCAAACTCTTGGTCTCAAAGTGATCCTTCAACATTAGCCTCCCAAAGTTGCGGGCATTATGGGCTTGAGTCTTTGCACTTGGCCTTAAGGATTTTTTAATTGCAAAAGTAACATAGAGACACCTTTCTTTTGTTTTTTTCTTTTAAGTCAGAGTCTCACTCTGTCACCCAGGCTGGAGGGCAGTGGCACACTCACGGCCACCGCAGCCTTGATCTGTTGGGCTCAGGTTATCCTTCTGCCTCAGCCTTCCAAGTAGCTGGAATTACAGGTATGCACCACCACACCTGGCTCAATTTTTTTTTTATTTTAAAGCAAACACTTCTGAATAAAAGTAGAGAGTCTAAGGGTACCTACTGGTCCTATGCCTAGAGATCACTGCAACAGGTTGGTGTCTATCTACTCTCCCACACAAATAAAAACAATCCCCCAAATGGCATACTACTTAAACAGGTCTTGCCAATATTTCACTTGTTTTCTTTTTCTTTCTTTCTTTTTTTTTATTTTTGAGTTGGGGTCTCACTCTGTCACCCACGCTAGAGTCAATGGCATGATCATGGTTCACTTCAACCTCAACCTCCTGGGCTCAGGCAATCCTTCTGCTTCAGCCTCCTGAGTAGCTGGGACCATAGGCACACACCACCATGCTTGGCTAATTTTTCGATGTTTTGTGGAGACAAGGTCTCACTATGTTGCCCAGGTTGGTTTTGAACTCCTGGACTCAAAGTCCTCCTGCCTTGGCCTCCCAAAGTGCTGGGATTGTAGGTGTGAGCCACCAAATCCAGCTATTTCACTTTTTGATGTCCAGGCTATCCTTCTATCTCAGCACACACAGACTCCATTCTTTTTTATTTTTTATTTATTTTTATTTTTTGAATTGGAGTCTCACTCTGTCGCCCAGGCTGGAGTGCAGTGGCACGCTCATGGCCACCGCAGCCTCAACCTGCTGGGCTCAGGCAATCCTTCCACCTCAGCCTTCCAAGTAGCTGGAACTACAGGCACAAGCCACCATGCCCAGCTAATTTTTTGGTTTATTGTAGAGACTAGGTCTCATCAAGTTGCCCAGACTGATCTTAAACCCCTGGGCTCAGGCATCCCTCTCACCTCTGCCTCCTAAAGTGCTGGGATTATAGGCATGAGCCATCATGCCCGGCTCATTCTTTTTCAAAAGCTATGCAGTCTTCCATAGTGTAGACATACCACACATCCCTCGAATTACTCCATCCCCTGGTGAAGGACATCGAGGATGCTCTGATTTTTCACTATTGCAATAATGCTATTGTAAACATACTTAAGCATATCTTGTACAACTTACAAAAACATTTCCATACCACAAAGTCACAGAATGGAAATTGGGAGGCAACAGAGGTCTAACACATTTTGAATGTTGAGATGTTGCACAATTGCCCTCTTAAATGGCTGTGCCAATGTGAAGCTCCCCAGCAGCACATGGAAGGACCCACAAAGAGTCTTACAGTAACAAGAGGATGCAGCGGGAAAGTCCTAGACGGATTCTAGGCCCAGGCCTCACCACTGACCTCTTGGTGGCCACGGGCAGGCGAGTCCTGCTGCCACATCTGAACATGAAGGAGTCAGGGCCAGCCAGCTCTGTGGCCCTTCCAGATCAAGGAGTCTGTGATCCTTAGCCCAGCACTGTTCTTCTGGGGCCTGCAGGAACTCAGAAAACCAACCTGAGCCTTCTTAAGGGTCACAGGTAGGGAGAGTAGTGAAACCCGCCAAAGTTCAGAGGCAGGTCTTCTAGTACCCGCCAGGGGCCTTAACAATCATATGATGCCGAGCACGGTAGCTCAAGCCTATAATCCCAGCACTTTGGGAGGCCAAGGCGAGAGGATTGCCTGGGTCCAGGGGTTGGAGACCAGTCTGGGCAACTTGGTGAGACCTCAGCTCTACAACAAATCAAAAAAGTAGCTGAGCGTGGTGGTGTATGCCTGTAGTTTCAGCTACTTGGAAGGCTGAGGTGGAGGGATTGCCTGAGCCTAGCAGGCTGAGGCTGCGGTGGCTGTGAGCGTGCCACTGTACTCCAGCCTGGGAGACAGAGTGAGGCTCCAACTCAAAAACCAAACAAACAATCATATGGCACAGAGTTAGTCAGAATCTCTGCATCTGTACATGACAGGTCCCTGGGGGAGAAAGCCCAATGTGTCCTTGCTGCACTCTGGATTTCTCTGTTCAGAAGGTTCTCTCCCTCCTCTTTGGAATCAATATTCTGATAGCATGATGAGCCAGAAGAAGCTCTGGGATAGTTAAACACAGTGGACTTCAGACTGTGTTCCTCAGGGCCCAGGTTCCTGGACAGGTGTCCTTCAGCTGTCAAGAAGGAAAGCAGGCCAGGGACGGTGGCTCATGCCTGTGATCCAACTTTGGGAGACTGAGGCAGGATGATCACTGAGGCCAGGAGTTTGAGACCAGCCTGGGAAACACAGCGAAACCCCAGCTCAACAAAAATGTAAAAAGGAGCCGGGCTCGGTGGCTCAGCCTGTAATCCCAGCGCTTTGGGAGGCTGAGGTGAGTGGACTGCATGAGCCCGCGGGTTCGAGACCCGCCTGGGCAACTTGGTGAGACCGCAGTGCTACAATAAATCAAAAACTAGCCAGGTGTGGTAGCGCACGCTTGTAGTTCCGGCTACTTGGAAGGCTGAGGTGGAAGGATCGCCGGAGACCAGCAGGTCAAGGCTGCGGTGGCCGGGAGCGTGCCACTGCACTCCAGTCTGGGTAACAGAGTGAGACTCTAACTCAAAAAAAAAAAAAAAAAAAAAAAGGAGCCAGGCATGGTGGTGTGTGCCTGCAGTGGCAGCTACTCAGGAGAATGGTGAAGGACACTGAGGAGGATCACTTGAGCCCAGGAGGTTGAGATTGCTGTGAGTTATGATCGTACCACTGTACTCCAGTCTGGGTGACAGAGCAAGATCCTGTCTATAAAAAAAAGGAAAAGAAAAAAAAGCAGTGGGCCTGCCCCACTTCCTCTAACTGTGCCTCTTTCTAGTCAAGAGGCTCCCGGGCAGAGTTTAATTTCCAAAGCATCCACAGCAAAGGCTAGTACAGACTGACATTCCCATGCCACAGCCAGGTGACCCAGGCCCCAGGGAGACAAGTCCAAGCCAGTGGCACGTCAGTCACTAGGTTCTCCCCACTATCTGAGGCTCTCAGATGAGGCTCCCAGTTCACAGGGCTGGAGGCCAGCGCTGACTCGCTGTGGGATTCAACAAGTCCTGGCCACTGGCATCAGCGTCCCCGTTCCACAGATGCAAAGTCTAGCTCAGGGACTGCCCATGAGTTCATATCCATGTGGACATGTGGATGCCATGTGAAAACCAGGTGTCATTATTAGCTAGGGTTTTAAAAACAAAAATCTAGCCAGGCTCGGTGGCTCAGTCTGTAATCCCAGCACTTTGGGAGGCTGAGGTGAGTGGATTGCCTGAGCCCACGGGTTCAAGACCCGCCTGGGCAACTTGGTGAGACCTCATCTCTACAATAAAATCAAAAATTAGCTGGGCGTGGTAGCGCGCGCCTGTAGTTCCAGCTACTTGGAAGGCTGAGGCGGAAGGATCGCCGGAGCCCAGCAGGTTGAGGCTGCAGTGGCCGGGAGCAGCCACTGTACTCCAGTCTGGGTGACAGAGTGAGATTCCAACTCAAAAAGATAAAATAAAATATCAATCAATCAATAAATAAAACGAAAATCTTAGAAGACCGACTAAGCCCAGCACTACAAGGACACTGATCACAACTCAGTCATTATTTCATTCAGGCCCAGGGCCAGATTCCAGTCCTCTCTGGGCCTCAGTTTCCCCAGAGGGCAAGATGAGAATAATAATTTTCTAAGTATGTCCAAAAGAGGTGTCCTAAGAATTCTACACATGACTGATTCAAGATTAATTAAAGGCTGGGTGTAGTGGCTCATGTCTGTAATCCCAGCACTTTGGGAGGCTGAGGCAGGAGGATCGCTTGAGGCCAGAGGATCACTTGAGTCCAGGAGTTTGAGACCAGCCTTGACAACATAGCAAGACTCTGTCTCTACAAAAAAATTTTAAAAGTAGAGAAAACAAATGTGTCATACAGCAAAAGGTATCACTCTGGAGATCACCAACATATTAACTAGTACTGCCAGAGAGCTCCGGAGTTCGCTGTGTTACTAGTTAATTTGACCATATCCCAGCTCTGCCATAGACTGGCTACGTGATCCCAGTCAGGTTACTTAACTTTTCTGACCTTCAGTTCCCTCCAGCTTAAAAGCTACCTGGAATGGTTGTGGTGATTAAATGAGGTGACCACATAAGCCGCTGAGCACAGAGAGGAGCCCAAGACTCATTTTGATTGTACTGCTGCTAGCAGCTTAGACGATAGCCCCTCCTGCCATGCCTGTGTGCATCTGACATGATGCGCACAGACACATCTGTTCCCCCACAACCAAGAGCCATGCACGCACCTCCCAGTTTGTCGAGGACCCGAGATACCGCCTTAGCGCAGCCTTCGCAGGTCATGTCCACGGAGAACTCGTGCTTCTGAAATACACAGGGGACCATGAGCTCGCCCCCACACACCCTCGAGCCTGTAGGCCCACTTGGAGCCAACACAGAGGCAAGGTGCCTGCAGGGGCCTGGCTGGCATGGGCCCCATCAGGAGCCTGTTGCTGAGCCCAGCTCCTTGGCCGTAAGGGGGTGCCACCGAGGGTGTCTGTATCTCGCAGGCTGTATTCAGTGGGTTACCCTAGAAACTCTTCAGCAGTGCTAGAGGGTTGGCTTCAAATGGGTTTTCTCCCAGTCCTACCTTCAAAATGCTAATTCCTAAGCTAAGGGCTTTGTCTCAGGACCAACAACTCTGATGTGGATCCCCAGACTCTGAGCAGTACTGGTCTGGTAGCCCATTTATATATAAGAAATCATTGTCTGCATTAGAGTTACCTGGCAGCTTGCACAGATCACAGGTTCTGATTGGCAGGTCTGGGCCAGGACATTGACGAGGTCTAGTAAGAATCCCAGATAAATCTGCTCTCATGCAAGCACCTTATTCTCAGAAGCAGCATCTGGATCCAGGGAAATGATCTGGTGCCCTGGAGGGTTGGAGGCTGGGCAGCAAGAGATCCCAGTCCCTATGTTCTTCATGTAGCTCTATATCCCAGTCTTCAGGACCTCTATCAAACCAAGGGTCTGAAGGTGAACCCCCAGAAGATAGGGCTTTTGCTCAGATCACCGCTGCATCCCCAATACCTGAAACAGTGCCTGACAGTAGGTGCTTCATACATGGTGTTGGGTGAATGATTGACATGGCTGTTTGAGAACTTCTGGGTTCCTTTCTTTGCTTTCAGACAGAAATTACTTACACCAATACTTCCCCTTATTTTTAAATCTCAGAAAATGAGAACATCTGGAATCAGATCAATCTGGCTTCAGATTCTAGCTCTGGTACCTACTCATTGGGTGGTCCTGAGTAAGTTACTAAACTCCTTCGTGCCTTGGTCTCCACATCTGCAAAATGAGGATAAGAGTTCCTCTCTAGAGTGGTGAGTGGAATGAACAAAGGATTCTAAGTGTGGTACTTGGCACCCAAGATAGCCTCGGTGATCTATTATCTCAGCTGGAATTCTGGGTAAAGCAATATATCTTTTGCCAGAAGACCTCAGGCAAAATCTCTGCCCCAGAGGGGCCAGTTCCCTGCTCTATACCAAAAGGCTCTTAACCAACTCATGTTTTTCCATAACTGCATGGATAAGAATCACCAGGAGCTTGAGGACTGTGCAGCCCTCCAGGCACCTGCCTGTTGGCTCTGTGGATCAGGAGCGGCCCTGAGACTCCATTATTATTTTATTTTATTTGAGTCAGAGCCGTCACTCTGTCACCCAGGCTGGAGCACAGTGGCATGCTCACAGCCATTGCTAAACCTGCTGAGCTCAGGCTCAGACCTTCCAACTCAGCCTTCCAAGTAGCTGGAACCACAGGTGCATGCCACCACACCTGGCTAATTTTTTTCATTTACTGTAGAGACGAGGTCTCGCCATGTTGCTCAGGCTCGTCTTGAACCCCTGAGCTCAGGCAATCTTTTTGCCTCCACCCCCAAAGTGTGAAATTACAGGCATGAGCCACCGTGCCTGACTGAGACCCCATTTTTAGCTTGCTGGGGAGGGACAGGGAGGCAAAACCGCAGAGCTGAGAAAAACAGGGCTGAGTGGCTTCTCAAATGCTTCCCAAGGCTCTAAACACTGTTGTATCTGGGCTGTCATCTGGCTTTACAGAGGACACTGAGACCGAGGGTCAAGCAGCTGGGCTTTCCAGTGCCAGACTGTTCAGTCTTTGTAACTCAGAGACAACTACTTTTACTGAGGCCAAATCTGCAAAATCTGCCTTGAAGAAAATGGTCAAGTTTTCCTTTCTTTTAGTTAGGATTTTTTCAGCTTGTTTCATGACTATCCAATAACAACAATTTCTGGGGGAACAAAGTCTTGGGCATTACAAAATCTTGTCTCAATCTATTAATTTATTTTGAGTCGGGGTCTTACTCTACCAGGCTGGAGTGTAATGGCATGATCATGGCACACAGCAGCCTCGATCTCCTATACTCAGGTGATCCCTTCCACCTCATCCTCCTAAGCAGCTGAGACTACTGACACATGCCACCATGCCCAGGAAATTTTTGGACTTTTTGTAGAGACGAGGACTCATTACGTTTCCTAGGCTGGTCTTGAACTCCTGGGTTCAAGCAATTTTCCCACCTCAGCCTCCCAAAGTGCTGGGATCACAGGTGTGAGCCACTGTGCCCAGCCTACAAAATCTTGTCTGTAGGTCCCATCCCAGATGTCCCGAATCAGAATTCTTATTTTAAAAAGACAACCAGGTCACAGTTTGAGATGGTGTTCTAGAACATGGCGTGGCAAACCACAGCTTACATATGACCTGGTTTTTTTTTTTGAGTTGGAGTCTCATTCTGTCACCCAGGCTGGAGTGTAGTGGCATGCTCCCGGCCACTGCAGCCTTGACCTGCTGGGCTCCGGCGATCCTTCCGCCTCAGCCTTCCAAGTAACTGGAACTACAGGCGTGTGCTATCATGCCCGGCTAATTTTTGATTTATTGTAGAGATGAGGTCTCGCCAAGTTGCCCAGGTGAGTCTTGAACCTGCGGACTCAAGCAATCCACTCACCTCAGCCTCCCAAAGCGCTAGGATTACAGGCTGAGTCACCGAGCCTGGCTATGACCTGGTTTTATAAGCAAAGTTTTGTTGAAACATAGCCAAGCTTATTTGTTTACTTTTGCACTAGAATGGCAGAGCCAAGTAGTTGAAACAGACCCTATGGATCATGAAACCTAACATATTTACTATCTGGCCCTTTAAAAAAGAAGTTTGTTGGCCAGGTATGGTGGCTTATGGCTATAATCCCAGCATTCAGAGAGGCTGAAAAAGGAAGATGGCTTGAGGCCACAAGTTTGAAACCAGCCTGGGCAACACACTGAGACCTCGTTTTTCCACAAAAAGTAAAAAAAATTAGCTGGGCGTGGTGGCATGTGCCTCTAATCTCAGCTACTCAGGAGGTTGAGGCAGGAGGATCATCTGAGCCCACGAGGTCCAGCTGTGATGACTCAGCACTGTGTCACTACACTCCAGCCTGGGTGACACAGTGAGACCTTAACTCAAAAAAAAAACAAACAAAAAAAACAAGCTGGCATGGTGTCCCATGCCTATAATCCCATAATCCCAGCACACTGGCAGGCCGAAGTGAGATGATTGCCTGAGCTCAGGGGTTCGAGACCAGACTGGGCAACTTAGTGAGACCTTGACTCTACAATAGATCAGAAAATTAGCCATGCCTGGTGGCACATGTCTGTAGTTCCAGTTACTTAGAAGGCTAAGGCAGAAGGATCACCTGAGCCCAGCAGGTCAAGGCTAGCCTGTGGTAGCCGTGAGCATGCCACTGCACTCTAATCTGGATGACAGAGTGAGACTCCAACCCCCCCCAAAGAAAATGCTTGTGGAGTCCTGCTCTAGGATAACCAGCAGACAACCAAGAATCATCAGTAGTTTGCACCTGCATACTGACCTAAAGCTCTAAAGGGTTTGCAAGACCAACATGAGAGCTAAGTCTGTGTCAAATCCTGTGTCGTGTATCTAAGGTAGGCCTCACTCAGCCTGCAAGGTGTGGGGGGAGGGGTTTTTTTTCTTACTTTACTCAGGAGGAACATGGAGTTCCTGGGGTCCACTAAGCTGTCTCCAGTCATGTGTCGAGTCCAGACTGAGGATGAATGTGAACCCAGGCCTTTTCTGCTCCTGCTGGTTCTAGAACAGCAGAGTGCACTGCTACCCCCATAACTCTGCCTCTCAGCAATTTGAAGGGCAGGAATAACTTGTTAAGGACCTAAGGTCAACAGATATCTAAAACTTTCTGCTGCTGACTGCAGAAAGTAGGTCTTTCAGCCCCTGTAGTACAAAGGTCAGAAAGCAGCAGGGGACACATTCCAGTTCAGTGCTCTCTTCCCCCACCTCTGAGCGGCAAAAATAAATATGAAGGTGATGAGAAATCTGTTAATAGACAATAATCCACTCTTTACAGGAGAACCTCAAGATCGGTCTACCACTTTGGGCATGACTTTGGGCAGTGCTGGCGCCTCGGGGCCTCTGGGGTCTTTTATAAGGACTTATAAAATGGGTCCTCAAAGTAGACTTTAAAAGTCAAGCCAGGTATGATGGCTCACACATGTAATCCCAGCACTTTGCAAGGGAGAAGCAAGAGGATTGCCAGAGCCCAAGGGTTTGAGACCAGCCTGGGCAATTTGGCAAGACCTCATTTCTACAATAAACTAAAAGAAAAATTAGCCATGCGTGGTGGCATGCCCCCTTACTTCCAGCTACTGGAAAGGCTTAGGCGGAAGGATCACCTGAGCCCAGCAGGTCGATGAGGTTGTGGTGGTCATGGGCATGCCACTGCGCTCCAGCCTGGGTGACAGAGTGAGACTATGACTCTGACAAAAAAAAAAAAATCAGTAAGCCATACAATTCTTTCATAGGATCTCAGAACTGGAAGAGTGGGGCTGGAAGGGGTCATTTTATCCAGAGAAGGAATTCTTTTCCTTTTCTTTTTTCTTTTTTTTGCTCATGGCCACCTCAACCTCGACCTGCTGGACTCAGGTGGTCCTTTCGTCTCAGCCTTCCAAGTAGCTGAAACTACAGGCATGCGCCACCACACCTGGCTAATTTTTTGATTTTATTGTAGAGACGAGGGCTCGCCAAGTTGCCCACCCTGGTCTTGAACCTTGGTCTCAGGCAATCCTTTTGCCTCAGCCTCCCAAAGTGCTGGGATTACAGGCGTGAGCCCCTGTGCCCAGTTGGGATTCTTTTAAAAATATCTTCAAACACTCTAATGACTGGGAGTTTGCTTTGTTCTAAACACTTGACATGCATGATTGCATTTAATCTTCACACAATCCCATGAGGTAGTTACCATAGTTACCATTATTATCCCTTCTTGACTGATGAGGAAACTGAAGTTTAGGAGTTAGGTCACTCAACTCAGGGTGACACAAGTGAGTAGCAGGGCCTGGACTAGATACAGTCTCAAAGCCTCAACTCTTTTTTTTTTTTTTTAATT